GCGCGGTGCCGCGGGGCCGCCTCCCGCCCGCCTCCCGCCCGCCCTCCCGCGCGCTGCCGCGCTCCGCCCTCCGCGTCGCCGCCGCAAGGGGAGGAAGGGGCGCCGGTCCTAGGTGGGGCGGCCACACGCACGCCCAGGTCGCCGCAGACCCCCTCTCCACTGTGGTCCAGCTTGGGCCCCGGCCCCACCTCTGTCCCTCCAGACCACGCCCCAGCGGCTTCTTGACCCCCCCCCCCCCCCCACACACACACACCAGCTCTCTCCATCACACCCTCGGAGTGGCGGGTCTTACCTTCTTTGAGACCCCAGACCATGTTGGTAAGCCACCTGGAAGCAAGACTGTGTTCTACTCTGTTTCGTGACCTCAGATGGGGGCGGGGGTGGGCACACCCTGTCAGGAAACCTAGACCATACACCTCTAATTCCAGAGGGACCTCAGATCATATCACAGCATCCTAGGGGATCCAGATTCCACCCCCACGCCCATACCCAACACTCAGATGGCCCCCAGACCACACCCCAAAATCCACATAGGACTCAGACTATATGTCAGGGTCCAGAAAGAGCCCACCATAGCTTGACTCTTTGGGGAACTCTGGGAAACCAGACCGTGTTTCATAGCCATTCAGAGAAAAAAACTAGGTCCAACCCCAACAACGTCCTTCCTCCATCAAGGACCTTCATTTCCCTGCCCACCAGGAGGAACTGTAGTGATGGCTAATGTCTAAGGGACCCCAAACTTCTCTTCTGCCCATGGAAGACCCTTAAATGCTTCTCATTCCCCCAACTATACCTCAGGTCATCATCCAACACCCTTGGGGACCTTGGAACTGTCACCGTTCCTTTCAGGACCCCCCCTTGGTTTATCTGCCCCCATTTCCCACCCATCCCCAGCAATCAGTCCTGCTACCTTCAGCCCTTGCGACCTCTGTGACTCCCAGGGATCCCAGAATGACTTGTTTCTTCCTTCTTTCCACCCTTAGCGTCCAGCTTCTGCCCTGCACAGAGCTGACCTCCTCATCCTTTCCTTAGAGCCCATGGGTATCTCAGGCCATGTTGCATCTCCTTTTGAGATACACATAGGAACCCCAAACTCAGCAAAGCCTTCCGTCAAAATCTAATCTATCTTTTTGCAGCACCAGTGTCTCAAACACTTCCCATTAGGCACCCCCGCCGTGAAACTCCTCCCCCAAGCCCTGTAAATCCTTCCTAGGCACACTCCCAGAACCAACTCACCACCACAGATCTCCTCGGTGAATGATGGTTCAAGTCAAAACCAAGAGGAGCCCCAGGGGAGCTCCTAGTCTCCCCTCTCCAGACTCCACCTGTCCACACCCTCCAAACACCAACTGCACTCCACCTTCTAGCACTACAGCCTTGAAGAAACAGAGTAGAAAGAGGGACTGGGGGGGATCACTCAGCCTGTGAAGCCCTTGCCGTGCAGCAGGAAAGATGGTGGCGGAGACAGGCAGATCCCTGGGGCTTCTTGGCCACTCAGTGTAGCCTAACCTGCCAGCCCTAGGTCCCAATGAGAGAATCTGTCCCATGAACAAAGTAAAACCTGTGCTGGAGAGATGGCTCATCTCTTAAAAACACTGACTTCAAATGGACCCAGGTTCAATTCCTATCACCTACCTTCATAGCAGCTCACAACTCTCTGTAATTCTAGTTTCAGGGGGATTCAGCTCCCTCTTCTGACCTCCACAGGCACCAGATCGGCAAATGCTACATAGACATTGTACCCATACACATGATTTTTTTTTTATTCTGGGATTAAGGGTATCACCATTGCCCAGGCATATGACTTTTTAAAAAAATACTCATTCTAATTTTCTTTTTTATATTTATTTATTTTTATTATGTATACAATTATTCTGTCTGTGTGTATGCCTGAAGGCCAGAAGAGGGCACCAGACCCCATTACAGATGGTTGTGAGCCACCATGTGGTTGCTGGGAATTGAACTCAGGACCTTTGGAAGAGCAGGCAATGCTCCTAACTACTGAGCCATCTCTCCAGCCTGGCATATGATTTTTTACAATTCAAAAAAAAAAAAGATGGACCACTTCTAAGAAAGAACACCTGAAGTTGACCTCTGGCCAACACATACACTCACACTCACACATGTACATGCACGTACCACACATAAGGGAGCAGGAAAATCACGGCAACAAACGTGAGCATGGATGCAGCCATACTGCAGGTGGCAGTGGTTCCGGGGCCTTCGGGTACGGAGGAGCTGCCCTGACTATCCCCATTTCACAAATGAGAATCACTGAGGCAGACAGAGGCTTAGTCCCCTGCCCAGGGTCACACAGGTCAATAATAAGGGGCAGCATAACATAAAAATGAAGGGAAAGAGGGGTGAAGTCAGGCTGGGGCTGGAGGTGAGGGGAAGAGGGAGGATAACGGAGACACGGCGGCTAAGTGAAGAGTCTATGAAGCAGGCAGGGGTATGGACCACTGAAAGTACCACACTGCAGTTCCTAATTAGAGACCCAATTCTTGCAGCAGACTTCCAATACAGACTGATAACCAAGCCTAGAATTCTTCACCAATTCTGGTCCTACCTGCTGTCTCTTAGGCCCCACCCCAAAGCATAAATTCCACTCTATGTAATGGGCTGGTCCCAAATTTGTTATGTAAACCAAGTTGCCTCTGCCTCTCAGTGTGTGGACTAAAGGCGTGTGCTACCATGCCCCGCCTGAAACTCTAGATTCTTAGTGAGTAAGTAAATAATAGCCATCCTAGGCTCTGCCCACAAATACAAGCCCCCCACCTCTTCTGAGTAAACCACACCCTCCATCTTTGCCTTCTTGCCCTTTAGAATCCTGACTTTTGGCCTAGGCTGGGAGTCTTTATTCTGTGCTAAATCCCTTCTGAGCGTCTCAAACATAAGCCCTGCCCCATGTCCAAGAATAGAAAGAAGTTGCCCTGGGAAAACATAGAGTGCAGATTCAAAACAGAGAGCTTGGGCTGGCGAGATGGCTCGGTACCCACTGGCACCTCTGGCCAAGACTGAAGATCTGAGTTTGATCCCTGGAGCCCACAAGGTGGAAGGAAAGAAGTCGTGAAAGTTGTCCTCTGGCTGTCCCGCATGAACACACACCCGTGCACACATACACACATACATACATACATTAATAAAATACATTACATCAACAAAAAGCCCCCGTTATACTGACTGACTCTTCATCGGATAATCTGTTCTGGACCCTCTGATTGGTTCTTGCTTTCCAAACTTGCTCTTGATTGGGCGAGTCCCATACATTACAACCTAAAAGCAAGCTCAATTCTGAAGGGTAGGGTAGGGAGGAGGGAGAAGGGAAGGAAGGCAAAGGCTACTGAGATTCTTCCCAGAAACAGTGCAGAGTGGCCCTTGGATGTGTGATAGTCTGTGGCTTCAGCTTCTGTGCCTCGGTTTCTTCATCATGGCCACCTACCTCTTCATCGCGCATTGTAGGAATTAAGTGGACGCCTGTATGGTACCTGTACTTGTCAAGCATTTGTGGTCAAGAGTGTGTAATCTCAGACAAGTCTCATTGCCTCTCTAATCTTGGCAAGCCAGGGGTTCCTTGACCTCTTCATTAGATGTCCCTGTGATCCCCAGACCTCTCTTTCCCACCCCACCCCTAGTTATTGGGGACTAAGATTGTAATCAGAAGTAACTCGGGGCCAGGTAGTGGTGGCACACCTTTGATCCCAGAACCTGGGGAGGGAGGCAGAGGCAGGTGGATCTCTGAGTTTGAGGCCAGCCTGGTCCACAGAGAGTTCCAGGACAACCAAGGTTACCCAGAGAAACCCTGTCTCAAAATTTAGGGGAGTGGGGCCTCTAGCAGGGAGGAGACAAGCTTGATCCAAAAGCCCCCAGAACACGGAAGGCTAAAGACATTTCTCCATGGCCCAGTTTAGAGATATGTTATCGGGAATTTCTCTGGGAAGGGCTTGTCTTGACTGGAGACAGGGAAAGAAGGGGCAGGGTGGGGCGAAGAATCTGAGGGAGCAGGAGGAGAGGCAGGACACAAATTCCCTTCTAGGCCCGCCCCTAGAAGCATTAGGGTTGGGGGGGAGAGGGACAGCTCAGGACCAAGGTCACTGTGTCATTGTTACCATGGCAACGGCCACCTCTCAACAGGGAACCTGGAAAAAGGTGGAGGAAGGGAGTTCCAGGCCCCCCCCCCCCTGGTGTGAGGACTGAGAAAATATGGGTGATAGTGAGCATAGCACAGGAAATAGATCCACCTCTCTCAGGACGGCCAGGCTCAGAGCCCTGTATACCCTGGGTGCTGAATACATGGCCTTCAGAGAGAAAGGTCTGAGAGAATTCAGTGCCCAGAGGTCCTGGAAGAAAAGAAAGAGAAAAGACAAGAGCGTAGGGAGTCTCCCCTTCCCTGAGTCTTCAAGCCCTCTAGGGTCACTGAGCCCTAAATCCTCTTCACTGCCCACAGTCCTGGGCCTTTAGGCTTGTCCAACCTTGAAGCTATCCATCACTAGCATCCTACTGGTGCCAAAAGCAATTCCAGTTTGATATATATATATATATATATATATATATATATATATATATATATATATATATATATATATATATATATATGGCTTTAAATTCTTCCTACCTGAGGGCTCATCTGAGACACAAAGCATTTAGTACCAAAAGATGCCTTCTAATCCCAAAGTGGAAGAAGAGGTGAAGAGAGGGGGTACTGCACTTTCTCCAATCAGGGGCCTTTTCCCTCTTAGGAGTGACCCCTTCACAAATTCTAACATTCCCTCCCAAAATTCCCTTAGGGAATCCCGGCCACCCCAGTTTCCCATTCCATCCCAGGAAGCTCCACAGTCCCCTCCCTTGGTGTCTAAGAAACAGGTGTCTTTTCCTCCCCGGGCCAGTTTTGTTCCCCTGGAAACGTTCGCCCCCTGCCGGCCACAAGCTGGAACTGCAGGGACTGTCGGCCCGCACGAACAAAGAGACATCAGAACCGCATCAGAGTCGAGTTAAGGGTCGCTAAATTCCTGATTTTTTAACGTTTATTTAGCTCTTGGATGTTCATCAGCCTAGGAGTCTGAGTATTCAAGCGTAAAGATTCCATATCCCTGGCTCAATGGTCAACGAAAGAAAGCTAACTTTTCTTGAAGCCAGGACTCCGTGAGGTCGTCTGTGGTGCGGATTTCAAACACCTGGGTAGAGAGAAAGAGGTCTTAGCATTATGATCCAGTGAGACTTCCTTACCCCTCAGACTAAGGAGCCCAGATCCAAGCCCTCCTCCTTCAACCCCAGGAGCCCAGACCTCTATGTGGATCCTCCCTCAGACCCTGGAGTCCAAGCCCAGCTCTTCCCTCAGATCTGAGGATCCAGGCCCAACCCTCCTCTCTCAGATCCAGGGGTCTGCTCCACAGTCCCAGGGGCTCAACCCCTGGCTTCCTCCCCCAGACTCCAGAGTCACCCAGCCTCTCCAGAGCTAGGGCTCCTTCTGGACCTTCGTAAGCTCCGCCGTCTGCACCAGTCTGTTTTTGCTCCCTGCATACATCATCTGTTGCTCAGGCTTGCAGCCTGTGTGGAGAAGAGAAGAACGGGTGTGGCTGGGGGCATGACTCCAGGTTGGTAAAACTCAAGCGGTCATGTAGACACTGCAGTTTAAGGAGGAATGTAGCAGGACCCTGAAGGCTGTACTCAGGGTTTCTAGATTTGTTTAGGAGCTTCAGGTTACAGTGAAGGTGTCTGGGAGAAGGAAGATTCAGGCCTCTGGTGAGGACTTCCTGGTAACATGAACAAGAATGTGTGCACTCTTGACGAACCTAAGTGCCTACCTCCACTTCACGGCTCCCACATACAGCGTACCCCACACATATACATGATTACACTTTTTTCCTTAGACAGGGTCTCTCTATGTAGCCCAGACTGGCCTTGAATTCACAAAGATCTGCTTGCCCCTGCCTCCTGGTGCGGGAGCTAAGGGCTTGAGTCATTGAGTCACTGTGCCTGCCCCGTTTGTTGTTCAGATAAGGTTTCACTCTGTGGCCCAGGCTAGGCTGGGACTCAAGCTCCTTCAAGCCTCAGCCTCCCAAGGGCTGCGACTGCATGCAGAACACAACTATGTCTGGCTACAGTACCTTCAGAGTACTTTTTTTGGAAGGGGGTTGTTTTGTGTTTGTTTGTTTGAAACAGGATCTCTCTCTATAGCCCTGGCTGTCCTGGAACTTACTCTCAAATTCACAGTCTGTGTGCTAGCATTAAAGGCATGCACCAACATACCCAGCTACTATTATACCCCTGTGTTCATTTTTTTTTTTTTTTGATGGTGCTGGGAATAGAACTCAGGGCTTACAACAAACTGGGCTGGTGCTCTACCCATATCCATACTTGTAGGTGCCTCTACCCACTTACATACACCTCTATAGCCATACACACACCCGCATGCACGCATACACGCATGCACGCACGCATACACTGCTCCTCGCCATCTAAGACCCTTTCCTCAGGACAGTTAGAGCCGTGTCTCACCCACGGGGCTGGAGAAGATGAAGCACAGAGGGTAAGACACCCTGCCATCGGCATGCACGTACTTGTAGCTGTAAACCACGAACCTACGGCAGAGAAAGGAAAGTCACACTAGGACCCAGGAAGCAGTTCTTTGAGTTCATGTCCTCGGATCCAGAGCTGGTTATGGCAGCACCTACCTGTAATCCCAGCACTTGCGAGGGATACAAGAGGAGCTGAAGCTGAGTTAACCTCAGCTACACAGTGAGTTTGAGGCCAGCCTGGACATCGTCAGTTCCTGTCTCAACTACTTAAAAAATGTAATTTGGCCGGGCAGTGGTGGCACGCGCCTTTAATCCCAGCACTCGGGAGCAGAGGCAGACAGATCTCTGTCAGTTCAAGGCCAGCCTGGTCTACAGAGTGAGTTCTACGACAGGCTCCAAAGCTACAGAGAAACCCTGTCTCGAAAAACCAAAAAGAAAAAAAAAAAACGTAAATTAATGTTGAGCGTTCTCAGCCACGGGGTTATTCACTTGGAGCTCAGACTCCCAGGGAGATGCCCTGGAACAAGCGTGTGATGTGAGACTCGTGCTGGGGCCCACGCTTCCCTATCCCAGCAGTGGGACCTGAGGGCACAGCAATCACAAGGAGATGCTGAGAGCTGGTGCCTGACCCAGGAGGTGGAACTGGATGTGAGTCAAGATGCTAAGCACCACTGTCCAACGGGTCAGATTTCACACAAAAGACAAAGTCTAAGCTAAAACTCGGAAGAACATCAGCATTGAACTTCCCAGGGGCGAGGCCCAGTTCTGGGTCCTGGGTCTTTGCAGTTATCAAAGGTCCCTGAGCCTGGGAATGAGGTTCAAAACTGGAGAGACCAAAAAAGAATTGAGTCGAGATGAAAGATGTGGACAGACCAGTTTGAGTCAGGCACAGTGGCATAGGCCTGTGGTACCAGCACTCAGGAGGCTGAACCTGGCCATTGCCTGTGGTACCAGCACTCAGGAAGCTGAACCTGGCATAGGCCTGTGGTACCAGCACTCCGGAGGCTGAGCCTGGCATAGGCCTGTAGTACCAGCACTCCGGAGGCTGAACCTGGCATAGGCCTGTGGTACCAGCACTCAGGAGGCTGAACCTGGCATAGGCCTGTGGTACCAGCACTCCAGAGGCTGAACCTGGCCATTGCCTGTGGCACCAGCACTCCTGAGGCTGAACCTGGCCATTGCCTGTGGTACCAGCACTCAGGAGACTGAGCCTGGCATAGGCCTGTGGTACCAGCACTCAGGAGGCTGAGTAAGAAATGGATAGAAATCAGAGAGGGCAGGGTGCATTTGGGAGGTAGAGGCAAGACCTGGAATTCATTTATTTATTATGTATACCATTTTCTGCCTATATGTATGCCTGTGTGCCTGAAGAGGGCGCCAGATCTTATTAAAGTGGGCTGTGAGCCACCCTGAGGTAACTGGGAATTGAACTCAGGACCTCTGAGTTCAGGGCAGCCAGTGCTCTTAATCTCAGAGCCATCTCCCCAGCCCAAGACCTAGAATTTAAAGCTGTTCTTGGCTATATAATGAGTTCAAGGCCAACCTGGGATACCTGAGACCATTTTTCAAAGGTACAGCAAGAGGAGCTGGAGAGATGGCTCTATGGTTGAGTCCTTTTTTTCCTTGCACAGGACAGAAGATGAGTTCCCAGGACCCATACCAAGTGGTTCACATACACACATATACATAAATAATAAATTTCAAAAAAAATTTTTTTGGTTTCTTGAGACAGTCTTTCTTTGTGTAATAATCCTGGTTGTCCTGGAACTCACTCTGTATGTAGGTCAGGCTGGCCCCAGATTCACTGAGATCCTCCTGCCTCTGCCTCCTGAGTGCCGGGGTTAAAAGTGAGCACCACCAGCACCCGCCAAATTTCTGGAGATATGTCCCAGCAGTTAACAATTTTTGCCCTTACAGAGGACTAGGTTCAGTTCCCAGCACCCACAAGGTGGTTCACGACACTCTGTTCTAGGGCATCCAAAGCCCTTTTCTGGCCTCTGAGTACATGTAGTGCATAGACATACATGCATGCAAAACGCCCATACACATAAATACAAAAAAAATTTCTGAGACAAGAGCTCACTATCTAGCTCTGACTGTCCTGGAACTCACTCTGTAGACCAGGCTGGCCTCTGACTCACAGATATCCTCCTGCCTCCGCCTCCCAAGTGTGGGATTACAGGTGCTGTGCCACCAAACCTCGCCTTAAATACTTTTTAATTTTTAAAATGTCCTCCTGGTTTGTTTACCCTTTAAAAACTATTAGCATAAGGACTGGAAAGATGGCTCAGAAGTTAAGAGCACTTGCTGCTCTTTCAAAGACCTAGGTTCCATTCCCAGTACCCACATGGTGGCTGACAACTAAGTCCAGGAAATCTTATGTTGTCTTCTGATGTCTACGGGCACCAGGCACACATATTGTACATAGACACACCTACAGGCAAAATACTAATGTACATAAAACAAAATAAATAGATCCTTATCATACTAGCGTAAAATTCTGTAATAAAATATTACCAAATCAACAAAAATTTTCTAGACTATGACTTTTTGGCTTCAAACTCAGAGATCCTGAGCACATAGACAGAACTGGAGCCCCATGGCTCCCCAATCTGTAGGTCTTTTATCACTCCCTACCCATAGTCCTCCACACCACCCCTTCCTCCAGGATTCCTACCTGGGTTGTCTCTCTGGCAACTCAGATCTAAGTTCCTCTGGAGAAATGTTCTGAGAGCGAGAACAAATGACCATCGTTCAGTTAGAGAAAGAGAGAGAAGGAGGGAGGGAGGGAACAAATAACCATCATTCAGTTCATTAAATGAGCACTTGAAATGTGATCGTTGTTCTAAGAAGAAAAGCGTGGGCAGATTCATTGAGTTTTCTCAGAACTATATGGGAGGTCTTATTATACCCACTTGCCAGCTACAGAAACTGAGGCACACCAATGTCAAGGGACTTGCTCCACATTGCAAGACAGTAAATGCCGGAGTTCCGATTTGAATCAGTGTTCCCATGGTAACCACTGCACTCTACTTCCTTTCAGGGGGCCCAAGGAAGCCCAGCTCCTCCTGGTCAATACCCTCCCTTGCCAAGAGCCTCAACCCCAGAAAGAAGGAAGGAAGGCAGGCTAATGCGGACAGCGAGGTCACAAAATGGAAGGCTTATCCAGTTATACAGGGTTGTTGGTGGCTTTGAGCTACCTTATCTGTAACGGAAGCCCTAGGTGCTGGCTAGTTTTATGTCACCTTGACGTCTGAGGGGAGAAAACACAATTGAGAAATTGTGTCTATTAGAAGGGCTGTAGACAGCCTGTAAGACACTTTCTTTAGTGATACAGGAAGACTCAGACCATTGTGGGTTGGGCCACTCCCTGGGCTGCTGGTCCTGGGTTCTATAGGAAGGCAGGCTGAACAAGCCATGGGAAACAAACCAGTAAGCAGCTCCCTCCATGGCCTCCACCTCAGCTCCTGCCTCCAGGTTCCTGTCTGCTTTGAGTTCTTGCCCTGCCTTCCATCAGTGGGACTGTGATTCAGGATATGCAAGCCAAATAACCCCTTTCTCCCCAGCTTGTGTGGGTCATGGCATCACAGCAATAGTCAACCCTAGCTAAAATAACCGGCTATTTTTTTTTTTAAAGGCAGGGGTAAGGCTTGAACTCACTATGTAGGATCAGGTTGGCTTCCAACACAGAGCGATCTGCCTGCCTCTGCCTTTTGAGTTCTGGGATTAAAAACCAGAGCCACTGTGCCCAACCTTTGTTTGACTTTTTGATACAGGGCCTCTTGCAGCCCAGGCTATCCTCCAGCTAACGTTGTGGCCCTCCCATCTCCACCTCTAGAGCGCAGGCATTACAAGCATGTGTCATTGTACCTTGCTTATGACGTACCCAGGGAGCAGTCTACCAACCCTGTCCCCAGACCTCTCACTGTTTTCAGGGGTCCCACATCCCGGCCCTCACCTGGAATTCTTCCTCCAGCACCACCATCTGCCGGTCTTTGTCCACTTTCACTGGAGAGGGATAGAACACAGGTTACAGGTCCCTCCCTCCCTGTCACCCCTGCCCCACCCTTCCATAGGGCAGAAGTCACTGACTTATGATGGCTGCATTGTCGGTCTCTTTTCGGAAGCGGAATTTCCTCAGCTTTTCCTTTAATTCCGGGTCCACTTCACACACCACCAGGGAGTCCGACTGCCAATGGGACAGGGAGGAGTTGAACTGGCTTGGCCTCTAGCCTGGCTCCTTTCCTGACTCAGTTTCCCCATAAACCAGGGAAGAAGCTGAAGCTGGCCCATGTGAGAGGACTTTGGCAAACACCTCAGTGGGTGCCAGTCACTGTGACACACGGCTCAGCTCCGGGGTATACACAGAGGGCAGGTTCTACCTTCCTGCTAGGTTCTCATGGATTACTCCAGAAAACCCAAGGATCTGCTTGCTTGGGGCCAAAATAGAACCACCACCTCTCTGCCCTAGCTATATCCTTTGCCTCAGCTGGGTACCTTCCTTCCCCGCCTGTGACCTTCATCCTCAGCTGACCTTCATCCATGCACCCTCCTTGCCCCAGTCCACCCTAAACAGCAGGACCAAGCCCTTCCTTGCCACCCAGGCCCTCTGACCATGGCTTTTCTGTCCTCAGGCCTCCTCTCAGTTCCGCTGTCTTCTAGAGGTGGGGACCCAGGCTGAGGGGCGGACTGGGAAGGGGAAGGCTTCACCTAACACCACATCCTGTTTATGCCCAGCCTGGGACAACTGTCACAAAGGGCTCCTCCCCTTCCTTCCTTCCCTGCATCTGCCAGAACCCAGGAGGCCTTGTGGCCACTGAGATGGAGGTTCGAATACACGGTGAGGCTTGCCCCACTGTCCCGCCCTAGCTAAGGACATCCACGACTCTGGTCTGGGATCGCTGTGAAGATAATAGCTTCAGCTATCCCCCAGGTTGATAGACGTGCCCAATAGTTAGCAAGTCCGGTGTTGTAGAATACACCTTCAGTTCCTGCACTTAGGCAGAAGCAGGAGGATCTTTATGAGATTGAGGTCAGCCTGGTCAATATAGTGAGTTCTAGGACAGCTCTTCCAGGGCTACTGTTAGAACATAGTCCAGGGATGGAGCTGCGTGAGGATTCTGAGTGCTTATGACAAACTGCAAGAAAACTAGACAGGCATCTTGTGACCTCCGTTTCTTCAAAACATGGTTTTTGTTTGTTTATTTTTTGGTTTCTCGAGACAAAGTTTCACTGTGTAGCCCTGGCTGTCCTGGAACTCGCTCTTTAAACCAGGCTAGCCTAAGACTCAGAGAACCTCCTTCCTCTGCCTCCCTGGCACTGGGATGAAAGGCCTGTGCCACCAGGACTGGCTAGGTCTCCGCCTCTTTTATCAACTTCACTCTCCAAGGTCTCATAGTTTCTAGAGTGGTGACTGACTACAAAGAGAGACCCTGTCTCAAAAATAAATAAAAGTGGTATATAATGTATTTATTCCAGTACTCAGGATGGCTGCAAGTCTGAGGCCACCTGGTTGACAAGAGTGAACTCCAGGATAGGCAGAGTTACACATAGATACTACATCCCAAAAGACTGGAATAGGACCTGTGAGATGGCTCGGTGGGTTAAGGGTACTTACTACCAAGCCTGGGGAACTAGGTTCAGTCCCTGCGACACACATGGGGAAGGAGAGAACCAATTCCCACAAATTATTCTATGACCTCCACAAGTGGGATATGGCATTTTCATGTATATACAAACATAAACAAATAAAAAATAATCTAATAAAAATTTTAAAATGAGGGCTGAAGCAATGGTTCAGAGGTTCAGAGCACTGGCTGCTCTTCTGGAGGTCCTGAGTTCAATTCCCAGCACCCAGATGGTGATTCACCACTATTTATAGGGGATCTGATGTGCTCTGGGCATAAAGTTGTACATGCACTCATATACATAAAATAAATAAATCTTTTGAAAAATTTTAAAAATGAAAGAGTAGATACTAGTAGGGCATAGTGATGCATGCTTGTAATTCCAACACTTGGGAGGCAAAAGCAGGAGAGTGGAGAATAATTGCAGGCCATCCTGGGCTACATAGTTCAGCTTTTTGTCAAATGCAGCAAACAGAGCCAGTCCTCCCCCTCTAGCCTTTGAAAGATAAAGACAGGAGATCAAGAGTTAAGGCCACTTGTGGCTACATACCAAGTCTGAGGCCAATAAGGACCACAGTGAACCCAGCCTGGACCTAGATCCTGTCGAGAGAGAGAGAGAGAGAGAGAGAGAGAGAGAGAGAACAAAAAATTAAAAAAACAAACAAAACAAAACAAAAACAACAGGATTCCAGAGATGGCTCACCAGCTAAGAGCAGTTAAAAACATTGGCAGCCTGGAGGTGTTGGTGCACACCTTTAATCTCAACACTCAGGGCAGAGGCAGGAGGATCTCTGTGAGTAGAACACAGCCTGGTCTAGAGAGCAAGTTCCAGGACAGCCAGAGCGACACAGAGAGACCCTGTCTCGAGAAACCAACACCAACAAAACAAAAGAGCACTGGATACCCTTGAAGAGGATCAGGGCTTGATTCCCAGCACCTACACAGTAGTCAACTCCAGTTCCAGGGCATCCAACACCAGTTTCGGACCTCTGTGGGTACCAGACATACATGTCGTATACATACATGCAGGTAAAACACTCACACAAAATAAAATAAATCTTAAAGAATAAAAAGGAACAACAAGCAAAAACTTCAGAAAAATCTGATAAAACAAACAAAGGAGTGTTGAGGGGTTGTGTGTAGCTCAGCAAAAGCATGCGTTAACCAAAAAGAGGAACATGGGATGTACTCACTCATATTTGGTTTCTAGCCATAAATAAAGGACATTGAGCTTATAATTCATGTTCCTAGAGAAGCTAAATAAGGCGAATCCAAAGACAAACACATAGGCATCCTCAGGAATATTAACCTTCATCAGGCGATGAAAGGAGACAGAGACAGAGACCCACACGGGAGCACCGGACAGAAATCTCAAGGTCCAAATCAGGAGCAGAAGGAGACGGAGCACGAGCAAGGAACTCAGGACCACAAGGGGTGCACCCACACACTGAGACAATGGGGATGTTCTATTGGGATCTCACCAAGGCCAGCTGGCCTAGGTCTGAAAAAGCATGGGATAAATCCGGACTAGCTGAACATAGCGGACAATGAGGAATACTGAGAATTCAAGAACAATTGCAGTGGGTTTTTGATCCTACTGCACGTACTGGCTTTGTGGGAGCCTAGGCAGTTTGAATGCTCACCGTACGAGACCTGGATAGAGGTGGGCAGTCCTTGGGCTTCCCACAGGTCAGGGAACCCTGATTGCTCTTCGAGCAGATGAGGGAGGGGGACTTGATCGGGGGGAGGGGGAGGGAAATGGGAAGCGGTTGTGGGGACGAGGCAGAAATCCTTAATAAATAAATAAATTAAAAAAAAAAAAAAAAGCATGCGTTAACACACACAAGGCCTGGCTTTTTGTTCTCATGCAAAACACACACACATACACACACACACGAAGTACTCATGTTTCCGTCCCCTTCTTGAAATGGAATACTGGGTAATATGACCTACTTAAGTGCATAGATTTTAAAAAAATCAATGAATAAACCCAAGTGTTCTACAAAGAAGTTATACAAACAAAGTACTTTATGAGAAAATCATATATATTTTAGTGAAGAAATACAGGCAAGAAAAAAATATTCCTAATCCCTAGCTCCGCTTGGCTTTCTGTACTGGCTCTCCTTTCTAACAATGGTCAGACCCCACCACTGGTCTCCACTCCACCTGCCAGGCCACCTCTACAGCTATTCTCCAACCCTTCCCGTAATCTGTCCCTGTCCCTTGATGACTCTCCCTCTGAGGTCTCGTGAAATGTTAGTTCTTCCACTTTCAAAATGAACAGCTTCGTCTCCAGCCATGTGTGGTGAGACACGTGTAATTCTCAGGAGGCTGAGGCAGGAGTATTGGCCAGCTAGGGGTATATAACAAGACACCGTCTTCAAAGACCAAAAATAAGGGGGGGGGGGGAATAGAGCAATAGTTAAGAGCACTGGCTGCTCGTCCAGAGATCTCACGTTCCATTTCCAAAACACACGTGATGTCTAAGAACTGTCTATAACTCTACTTCCAGGGGATCCAATGCCCTCTTCTGGTCTCCATGGGCACCAGGCATGCATGTGGCACACAGAAAAACACGCAGGCAAAGACCCATACACATACAATAAAAACTGATCTATAAACAAACATTAATCTAGCTGGCTCCATAGCTCAGTTGGTGGAGTACTTGTCTAGCATGCATGCCCTGGGCACAATCCCCAGCACCATATAAACTATATAAAGTAGCACATTTAGCACTCAAGAGGAGCAGGCAGGAGGGTCTACAGTTCAAGGTCATTCTTGGCTACCTGGAGAGTTAAGAGGCCCAACTGGGAAGAGATGTCTCAAAAATAAATAGCTGGGTTGGGTGGTGCATACCTTTCATCCAGGTACCCAGGAGCCAAAGGCAGATGGATCCTCTATGAATCTGAAGGCAGCCTGGTTTATACAGCCAAGTTCCAGGACAGCTAGGGCTACACAGTGAGACCCTGTCTCAAAGCAAACAGGGTCACGGAGTTTGCTCAGTAGATTAAGGTGTGTGGTGCAAAGCCTGACCACGTTAAGTTTGAACCCATACGATAAAACAGAACTGATTCTTCCTGTTCTCTGTCACTTGTATGGCTTGGCAGCCCCACCTGCTGCTGATTTTCTTCCAAACTTTCCCAAAACAATTGTCTATACTTACTACTTCCCAATTTTCTCTTAAACTCCATGCCACAATGCTAGCTTTTTTATTTATTTATTTTTATTTATTTATATATTTTGAGACCGGGTTTTTTTCTGAGTAGCCCTGACTGTCCTGCAGCTCACTTTTGTGGACCAGGCTGGCCTCCAACTCAGAGGTCCACCTGCCTCCACTTCCTGAGTGCTGGGATTAAGAGCATGCACCGCCTCCACTTCCTGAGTGCTGGGATTAAGGTCCACCCGCCTCCACTTCCTGAGTGCTGGGGTTAAGAGCAGGCACCGCCACACCTGGCTCTTAAACTATTGTTAAACTTCTTTTTTAAATTTTTATTTATTATGTATACAATATTCTGTGTATGCCTGCAGGCCAGAAGAGGGCACAAGACCCCATTACAGATGGTTGTGAGCCACCACGTGGTTGCTGGGAATTGAACTCAGGACCTTTGGAAGAGCAGGCAATGATCTTAACCGCTAAGCCATCTCTCCAGCCCCTATTTTTAAACTTTTTATGTGTGTGTTTTCTTGCAGAAGTCAGAAGAGAATGACAGATTCCCCTGGAACTGAAATTACAGTTGTTAGTTTCCATGCGGGTGCTAGGAACTGAAGCCAGGTCCTCTGGCCTAGCAGTGAATGCTCTTAACTGCAGATCCATCTTTCACCTCAGAAAAATGTCTTTAACCTTTTTTTGTTTTTTTTCGAGACAGGGTTTCTCTGTGGCTTTAGAGCCTGTCCTGGAACTAGCTCTTGTAGACCAGGCTGGTCTTGAACTCACAGAGATCCGCCTGCCTCTGCCTCCCGAGTGCTGGGATTAAAGGCGTGCGCCACCATCGCCCGGCTAGAAAAATGTCTTTAAACAAAGCAAAGTTAAAAGTGGGGGGGGGGGGGGTGTGGTTAGCTCACACTTGAAAGGAGAAGTGCAACTTGTATAGTATAAGAAAAAGTCTAGGCCAGTCACGACTAGAATGAGATCCTAATTCAAAAACTCCAAATCAAGTCAATAGATGGGATTTGTGATGTCCCCTGGTATGAAATGGTCTTTCCTTACCCTTTTCACACTCACTCTCTCTCTCCCTCTCTCCCCCTTCCCTCCCCTCCCCTTCCCTTCTCTCCTCTCCTATTTTTGAGACAGGGTCTCATTATATACATAGACCAGGCTGGCTTCTAATTTACAGAGAAGTCCCCCCTACCCCTCTGTCTTTGTTGGGATTAAAGACTTGCGCCACTACGCCCTGTTCCTTCTACTCCTTCTTGCTGCCACTTCACAGTCTTCGTTTAGTGTCCATTTCTTTTTTCAAACCAAGTGTCCTCATTTTCAGAGTTCCGTCTGATCCTAGTCTTCATTCATCCCCCATACACTCTTTGGGAATGGTCACCCACTCCCAAAGCTTCAATTACCATCTCTAATGATCCTTAAATCCTGGTCTTCAGCCTGAGTTTGTGGCTGGGTGGGGCAATGCTCTTGACTTCGCTGTTGGGCGTCCTACACTGAGCTTCTTCTCTGGGACCCGATCTCCCAGAGAGCTTTGTCCTGGAACTTTCTCTTCCGCCCTGGGGCCAGGCAGTGGCAAAAGGCTAGTTCAGAGGGCCACCTAGGCGTCTCTCCCATCTCCTCCCCTCCCCAGAGTCCCTCCCAAACGCAACCCCGCCCCAACTACCCCGGTAGCTCCCTGGACTCCTCCGGCGTCCCGTTCCTTCCCATCCCACCTCCCTGTGTAAGCTAGAGGCGTCGCTTCTAAACTCCTAACTCAAGACCTCCCCAATCTTGAATCCCTTCCGCATCCCCCAAGCCACTTTCAGCACAAGTGCAAACTCCCTCCAGTGGCCAAACATCTGGTCGCCGCTCATTTCCTACTACTGCCTGTCGTAAACTAGACACTCCACCCTGACTGTATTTCTTGGGGCTCTCAGAACAAGCCACATTGCTGTCATTCTTCTGGAGTGCCGGCTCCTTTCTCAGGTCACCCCGACGCAGGACAATTTGTGGACGGACTAAGATCATGACAAAAGCGACGGGAGCGATCTCCATTTATTGACGGTCTCTTTTGTGCGGGGGGGGGGGGTCTTCTTTCCACTCTTAAAGGGCCCACCTCGCTCATCTGTGTCACTTTAGGCGCGGCCGATCCGCATCAGGAGCCGGAATGCAGCATTGTAACCCCAAATGGCGAAGGCACTACACGGTACAGACCTAGGGCCGGGCGTGACCGAGGGGCGGGGAGGAGGGGGGCCTTGAACGCCAGAATGAGGAATTGTGACTCGGTTCGCCTCTGCTGAGCTAGAGGGCCGCGAGGCTGCCCCCTGCGGGCCGGGAGGCCCAATCGCGGGCTCCGCCAGCCTGTTGCCCGGGGCAACGCGGCGCGCGCCCCTCCCCTTCCCGGCCCTCTGCCCTCCGCCCGGGACCCGGCCGTCTGCCCGTCACCCCCAAGTCCGACCAATCGCAGTGAGGAGAGGGCGGGCCTCCAGGCCTCGTTCCAGCCCCCATCTCTCCCTTCCCGGCCAGAACCCCGCCTTTCTCGCCGCACACCTCCCACCCTTCGGGCTGCCCTCGCCGCCAGTTGGCTGGGTTCGCCGTCCGTCAATCGGGTGTGAGCTAATGCTGGCGCGCAGTGTCCCTCCGGGGCGGGGCCAGGGGCGGTGACGCACGGCGCGGTGACGCAGCGCGACGGCGGCGGCGGCGGCGGCGGCGGCGGCGGCGGTGGTCGGTGCGGGAGGAGGGAGGGGAGCTCTCGGGCCGAAGAGGGGGCGACGGCGGCGGCGGCAGCGGCGCGGGTGGCGGCGGCTGCCTGAGGAGGCGCGGGTGGCGGCGGCGGCGGAGGCCGAGGCGGTGAGTCTCGGGCAGGGCCGGGCCTGAGGGCGCGGGGCGGCGGCGGTCGAGGCGCGCGGCGCTCCCCTTAGGGCGACCCAGGCCGCGCGGCCGGCCCCGCCCCCTCAGGGACCCGGCGTCGCTGGCTGCGGCGGGCGGCGAACTCGGGCCTCGGGAGGCCGGGGGAGCCCGGAGGACCCTTTAGGACCCCGCGCTCAGCCCACTTCTCCCCACCCGGGCCCCTTCCTCAGCTTCTCCCCCAAGCCCTCACGCCCCGGGGATAGTCGAGGGGCCGGGCGAGGACCTCTGTCTTGACCCGGCACGCATCTGCCTGGTCCTCCCGCACGGCTCCTGCGGCCTCCCCGGAGACCACCCTCAGCTTTCAACTGCCTCCTTCGGGGACCTTCCCTATGGATCCCCGCCCTTTCGTCCCTGCCCCCCCCCATCCTCCTCCTGTATCGCAACACATTCCTTGATGGCTACTCCTCGTCAGTCTCCGCAGCACAGATCTCAGGCATCTCCCTCAGGAACCTCCCTGGAACCCCCAAACAGCCCCCAGACACCCCTTCGGCATTTAGGCCCCTCCCCAATCTAATCACATATTCCATCCATCTCCCTCATACTTCCTCTTCACATACCCCAGGATTTTACTCTCTCACCCTTCCTCATTCTAGAAATCTTAGAGATTTTCGCTCTTATCCCCCAAATCCTTCAGAATGCCCCGGTGAACCCTACATCTTCCTTGAGAAGCTTGCGTATCCCAGAGCAGTCTTCTTCAGATACTACTGAAATGCTCATCAATCCCAAAACCCACCTGGAGGACCACTCCTCTCATTGCTTCCATCTCTCATATGCACCCCACCCCCTTGTCATATCTCTTAGACCCTAAAAACATGACCTCATGTTCTGCAAATCTTTCCCACCTTGGAATGCTCTAGACTAGATCACCTCTATGTACCCCAACTATTTTCTCCTGAACCCCCACACCTACTAATCTTGAAAGTCTCCAGAGAGCTCCTCTCATATTCCAAAAACCTGTTCCAAATCCCCTCTTATGTATTCCAATTCCTTTCCAGTAACACACACCACATATTTTAAAAAATTGTCTAAGGACTCCAGAAATTTCCCTCACAGCCTCTGTATTCTCTAGAACTCTTCTTGGATAACCCGAAAATCTGAAACTGCCCCCTTGTAGCCTTAGATAGCTTTCTCAAGCTCCTCTGTACAACCCTGAAATATCCCTCTGAGATACAGCCTTCAGGATGCCCTAGCATCAGAAACCCCGGTAACCCTGAAACGGCCCTTAAAATACTACTCAGAGACCCTGACATCCCTAGGACCTTTGGATCTATTTCTTTGACTGTCTTACTAAAAGACTTTCTCCTAGCTATCTCTTCCTCAGAGTCCCCACCCCCCACTCTCCATAACCATCTTTAGAAAGCCTTCCACACCTACCTAATCTTCCTTCACTATGAATGAACGTCCAGAATATTTTGTGAAAAGGCTACTCTGATAACACCAGGTGTTCTCTAGGAGTCCTGTCCCACCCTATCCCCTCTGTGCTCTTTTTAACTTTACTTGAGGTTTCTCATCAAAGCCACCTCCCCATGTGGGGTGTGTGAGTGAGTGAGAGTGTGTGTGTGTGTGTGTGTGTGTGTGTGTTTAAGGATCCCTTTGTCAGGACCTCTCTCAGAAGACCACTCCTTTCCCCAAGACACTCTTTAGAGAAATTTCCTCTCAAACTCTGTGTCAGTAATCTCTGATACTTTCTGGGAACCCTCCCTCAGTTTTCCCCTCTGACATTCGCAATCTTATTTCAGGGCTCTGTTAGATTTATCCCAATGAGGATAAATCTGTTCTCACTTTCTCTTATCCTCCCATTCTCATTCCTTTGGAATCATAGACTCTTCTGGAGTCTCAGCCTACTTCCCCCACTATTTCTTCAGAGACCCCAGCATCCTTCAGATTCCCAGCTCCCCAATTCCTCTACTTCTGGAAATTCCAATGCTTGGAGACTCTTCTGTCAGATTGACTGACCTTCCTTCCTTCCTTCCTTCCTTCCTTCCTCATAGGTGTCTCTCCTTTCAGACATGGAAAGATCTTTAACACTCACTTAGAGACTTGTTGAGGACTTTGATTTCATCCCTTTCATTTTTGAAGACCCCTTACTGAAGAATTCCCTTTCCCTTCTGTCAGTGGCTCTCAAAGTATGGTTAGAACTGCAGCAGCACTGGTTGGAAAATGTGAATTCTTGGGTCTTACTCAGACAGAATCAGAAAACTTCAGAGGAGAGCCCAGCATTCTGAGTTTTTAATAAATGATCCTGTTGTTTCCGATGTATGCTTCTAAGAGGTTCTCTCTTTCTCTGTAAAAAGTCCTATAAGAGCCCTAAAGATGTGCCTCTAAGCGCTGCTATGCATCCCTATTTTCCTGGGAATCTACTGTGTGAAGTACCCATCCTCCAGAAAGACTTCTTACCCACTTTGAAGGATCTCGGCTTCTCCACAAGGTTACCCCACCCTCTGAGTAATTACTTCAGATTCTGCCTTTGAATGGTCCCCTTTCAGCTCTTCCTCAGCACTTTCTCCTTCTACCTGCCCCTCTGGCCTACCCTAGAGCTTTTGCTGCTTTTGCTTTAAATTGCTACCTCCTTGAACACACATGTCCCACTCATCTCATTTCTCTCCATGTGGGCAACTTCAGGTCTTCTGTGTCTTAACTGCCAAGGGCCCTCCGTGCACTTCACAGAGCACCAGTCACTTTCCTGCTTGTAGTTTATATTGACTTAACCCTCACTGGACAGGAAGCTAGAAGGACAGGCTGTATCTGAATGTGTTCCAGGGAACTAGCGAGCAGTACACTGTCCCTGCCCCTTTCTCCCTTTCATCCATCACTCTGTTCAGTCCCCTTGTCTATCCTCCTGCCCACTGCTTCTGTTCATGGAACTTTTCTTGGCGCTGATTCTGAGCTGTCCTGTGTTCTCTTCTGTTGACCTACCTCACCCCATCTTGGTTAGCTTTGCTCAGTCTCTCTAAGTTTGAGATCTCTCTAGTACTCTCAACTTTTTCCAAGAGAATCCATTCCTCTGTAGGGCCAAGAAAAAGAAATAGAGGGGGCTGGAGAGATGGCTCAGTGGTTAAGAGCACTGGCTGCTCTTCCAAAGGTCCTGAGTTCAATTCCCAGCAACCACATGGTGGCTCACAACCATCTGGAATGAGGTCTGGTGCCCTCTTCTGGCCTGCAGACATACACACAGACAGAATATTGTATACATAATAAATAAATAAATATTTAAAAAAAAAAGAAAAAGAAATAGAAAAGCCCAAGATAAACTCTGTCTTTCGGGGGCTCACTGTCTAGTAGAAGGCTTGGGCAGATGCACCACAGAGTACATGAGATGCAGATTATATGCTGTGGGGATTCAGCTATTTGGAAAGACTTCATGGAAAAAAGTATTTAGGTGAGGTAGTGTTTCATGGGAATCAGGATCACAATGAGGGGTTCCTAAGCAGGGAACACAGTTTAAATAAACACTATGCTTTTGTTTTTATGGTGCTGGGAATTGAACTCAGGACCTGGGGCACAAAAGACAAGTGGTTAATGACTGAGCTACATCTGAAGTCTCAAGAAAGCATCACTCTCACCCATAGTTTCTTCTGTATATGAGCAGAGTTGAAGGAAGCACTCTTTGATTTGCTGCACTGGAGTGACCCACAGATGTAACAGGAATTGCTGTTTACTGACTACTTATGTTTGCTAGGTGCTGTTCAAGTACCTTGTCCGTGTGGCCTCATACCCACGGGACCCTGAGGTAGATAAACTACGATTATCTTCATTTTACATATGATGAAGTGAAGGACAGGTGGGACTAATAGAAGGTCTGTGGGCCCTGCCCATTCCAAAATGATAGTGCCTTGGGTCAGAGAGTTAGATTTTCTATTTGGATAGGGGTTGGGCGTGACCCTTATGTTTCCACAACTGAAAAAAATGAAGGTGATAATGATATCTTACTTTATGGACTAAGTTAATGGATGTAAAGTACTTAGAACAGTGTCTTACACATGCTTGAGGGCTGTGAGCAGAAAGTAGTTAATGCTAGCCAAGGTAGAATCTCTTTTTTTTTTTAAATATTTATTTATTATGTGTATAGCATTCCTTCCACGTGTGCCTGCAAGCCAGAAGGGGGCGCCAGGTCATTATAGATGGCTGTAAGCCATCATGTGGTTGCTGGGAATTGAACTCAGGACCTCTGGAAGAGCCTTCAGTGCTCTTAACCTCTGAGCCATCTCTCCAGCCCCCCCAAGGTAGAATCTTAACACAAAGTAGTTTAAAAGAGATTTTGAACACCAGCAGGCATGGGAGGGAGGTGTGCAGGG